AGGGCAGCTCCCCACCCTTACGAGGCCAAAGTTGCCCACCACAGCCAGGATGCATGCAGGATGCTGTGCTGGCCCTACCCTAGGCCTGGGCTCCGCAGCCAGGGGCATCTCTGTCCCACCAGGGGCCCACTCTGTGACAGTGTCCCCACCTGAGCCTCAACATTCCCACCTGCACCATGGGGAGAACTCTGGGGGCACCCTCGAGAGCTCCTGGGAGCAGCAGTGAGGCACAGGGAAGCAGGTCTGAGCAGAACCAGCCAGGCCACGGGCCTCAGCAGGACCAGAGCCGGCTCCACGCTGCGTGCTTGAGGGACTCAACTTCCCAGGCCCTGGCCTCAGGCTGCTCTGGCCACCAGGAGGACCCAAGGGAGCGTGGCCCCGCTCAAGTCGGCTTGGGTCAGTCCCCAGTGAGTTTCTCCAGTTTTTCCTGCCAGTTCAGCTATGTCCCCTCCCAGAGCACACAGCAGGGTGGGGGCACACCCATGAGGGTAGCCGGATGTGAGGGGCATGGAGCAGACACCCCAGGAGCCCTGCAGCCACCCGCAGGAGCATCCCCAGACGAGGCCTGGCAGGGTGGTCTCCCCAGCCAAGGCCCAGAGCTGCCTGCTCAGAATTCCCGGCCTGGCTCCAGAAGGAATTCAAGCCCTGGCGTGCCCGGCCTCCTGCTCTGCCGAGTCTGAGAATCATTCCTCCTTAATTTCCAGCGACCACAACCGAGCTATAAACTGTAAAATCCCAATGAGGAAATGTGGCCTCCCGCTGCTAGTTGTTAGAGTGGTCTATAAAAAAATGGGTTTTACAGTTTGGAAATGGGTTATTTCAGAACTCCCTTTCAGAGCAGTCCTTGGTGCCTCACCAGGGGCTGCTCACCTGGCCGGGCCTTAGATGTCCCCGTTCATGCTGATGGGGGTGGGCAGCAGGGGAACGCAGGCTGCCTGGCCCTCACTGCGAAGCCGCCCCATCGCGAGCTTCCTCGCAGTTCTTGGGAGTGGGGGGCCGCTGGCTGGCGGGGGGATGGACCCCTGGACCTGTTACCAGCACTGCGCTTTCACCAACCGAGCTAACCGGCCAGCCCACCCTCCAGCAGGGAGCGCGTAGGCCCTGCTTCCTCGCCAGGTGACTGAAGCCTCGCTGGCCGGGTTTGGGGAGGCACACACAGGCTGAGCCGGGCTGCCGGCGTGCCGCCCTCTCGCGGGAGGACCCGCGTGGCTGAGGGTCACCCTCCTGAGCTGTCGTGGAGCTGTCGCCCGCGGAGACGGGAGCCCCGGCGGAGAGGTCTCGACCCCGTCCCCGGGTCGGAGGTGCCGGTAAACCCCAGCCCAGGAGAGGCCGCCCTGGGGGCCACCTCGGGGTCGCGCCTGGGCCCGGGCCTGGCTGCGCGGAGAGGCTGGAATTTCCTGAGTGGCCGGAGCGAGAGTGGGAGGGACGACGGCGGAGAGACGCGGAGGGCCC